GGCCGGCTAGTCGGTCGGCAGGGCCGGGCGCCGGCTCCCGAAGGCCGAGAGCAGAGGCGGAGGGGTCGGGGCGCGCCTCCGGCTGAGCCCGGGCCGGCGCGGCCGGAGCCACGATGAAGCTGGTGCGGAAGGACATCGAGAAGGATAATGCCGGGCAGGTGACGCTCATCCCCGAGGACCCCGAGGATATGTGGCACGCCTACAACCTGCTGCAGGTGGGCGACAGCCTGCGCGCCTCCACCATCCGAAAGGTGCAGACGGAGTCGTCCACGGGCAGCGTGGGCAGCAACCGCATCCGCACCACGCTCACCCTCTGCGTGGAGACCATCGACTTCGACTCGCAGGCCTGCCAGCTGCGCGTGAAAGGCACCAACATCCAGGAGAACGAGTACGTCAAGATGGGCGCTTATCACACCATCGAGCTGGAGCCCAACCGGCAGTTCACGCTGGCCAAGAAGCAGTGGGATAGCGTGGTGCTGGAGCGGATCGAGCAAGCCTGCGACCCGGCCTGGAGCGCCGACCTGGCCGCCGTGGTGATGCAGGAGGGGCTGGCCCACGTCTGCCTCGTCACCCCCAGCATGACGCTGACCCGGGCCAAGATCGAGGTGAACATCCCTCGAAAGCGCCGGGGGAACTGCTCGCAGCACGACCGGGCCCTGGAGAGGTTCTACGAGCAGGTGATGCAGGCCATCCAGCGCCACCTTAACTTTGAAGTTGTCAAGTGCGTCCTGGTGGCCAGCCCTGGGTTCGTGAGAGAGCAGTTCTGCGACTACATGTTCCAGCAAGCTGTCAAGACCGACAACAAGTTGCTGCTGGAGAATCGCTCCAAATTCTTACAGGTAATTATAATCGAAGGTGCTACATAAGTGTCCATGCACTGGAGTTGTATAGTATATAGAAATGGGGGGTGTAGAAATACCCAAAGGACAGGAAGGCCTGGTGCGATATGGTTAATGGGGTCACGAAGAGTTGGACACGACTTAACGACTGAACAACAACAACAGAAATACCCAATCGTGTAATTTAAACATTTATATAATTTCATATATAAGTAGCCACACATGAAATACTGAGACTTGGGTCATCTAAATCAGCCCATAATATGCCTATGAACTAAACAAAAAAAGTTGAGAAGGCTGAATGGCCCTATAAATATTGTTAGTGCAGTCAGGTTTATGAAATGCATCTGGCCATCTTTCCAGTTCCATGCAGAAGACTCTACTGTGATGAATAATTGTTGTTGTTGTTTAGTCATTAAGTCGTGTCCGACTCTTTATGACCCCATGAACCATATT